GAACCCAGGGGGCATAGTATGCAGCCTTAAGGAGTGTCTCTGTGACTCAGGGTTGAGGTGGCGGACTGTCCCCTCTCCCTCCTCTGCCCAGACAGCTGGCCTCTCACTTGCCAGGCATGTCAGTGTCAGTGGCTTCACCTTTTCTTGCCTCAGACATGCTGACTTTCCTGGTCATTCCTTACTCATTTCTGGGCCGATGAAGCATCATTCATTGACTTTTTTTAGTTATTCTAGGGCCTTGGTCTCCTTGAGCAAAAACAGAACCTACGATAGGAGGGCATTTGTGGAAAGCACCCTACCTTCAGCCCCTTTTCCTCTCCTCCACTGGGAAATTTACCCTTCACATTTCTAGATTTCTGCTGGGGCTTGAGGCCCATTTCTCCAGCCCCCTTTCTTCACGTGCCCTCATCGCCATGGTGGGTTCCTCCAGTTCTGAAGGCCTGTCTGCCTCTTCTCTGCTACTAATGGTGGCCTGGGTGAGAGGGGACAGAGCGGCTCTGGTGTCTGGAGTCATCTTCTGAGTCCCCGTGTTCACGGAGCATGCAGGGGTTCTTAATGAAGGACTCTCTTCTTTGTAGTGAAGGCAGTTCTCTTCTGTGAACTTCTAGTTCATACCATCCTGCCCCAAACTCTCACACACACACGTGCGCATGTACCGTGCACACACATGCACACACACATGTGCGCACACACGCTCTCCTGCCTTCCTTCCCTGGCACTGAGATGACTTTGCAGCAGCAGGGGGCTCCCTGGGACACACTAACCACCCCACTGCTGCAGAACCCTTCCCTAGCTCTGGGCCAGCAGTTCTCTGTACGACCGTGCACACACATGCACGCACACATGTGCGCACACACGCTCTCCTGCCTTCCTTCCCTGGCACTGAGATGACTTTGCAGCAGCAGGGGGCTCCCTGGGCCACACTAACCACCCCACTGCTGCAGAACCCTTCCCTAGCTCTGGGCCAGCAGTTCTCTGTACACAACCTGTGCAGACACTTCTCTGCAGATTCTTCATCCTCACTTCAAACTTGTTCATTTTGCTGCCACTGATTAGATGCAGCCCATTCTTGGCATCTCCTATTTGGATCTAATATGACTCATTCATTCATTCAAATAACATATAAAAGTTTGGAATTATTTTTGGTTTCTCTTCTTAACCTGCTTCATGTATCTTGCCAGAAACACTTACAAAAAATACCATGAATCCAGCCACTTCTGCATTTCCACCATTACCTTCTGAGGTCTGCACAGCACAGAGAGGCCGCTTCTTAACCCATGTCCCTACACCCTCTGTGACCCCATTTTCACCCATTCTCCAGAAATCAGCTGGATTATCCTTTAAAATGTAAACAAAAACATGTCACACCCCTGCCCGAACCTTCCAGTGGGTTTCCATCATCCTTACAATAAAATTGAACATAAATCTTTGCAAGATTCTATGTCATCTGGCCCCTGCCTTCCCTCTCACCCCACCCATTGTTCATTTCTCTCCAGTCATACTGACCTTGCTCTTCTGGAAGCATCCAAACATGCTCTTACTCAGAGTTTTATACATACTGCTTCCTTTGCTAGAAAAGCCCTCCCCTCCCCCCACCCCCATCTTTCTTCCCGTGATGGAAGAACGCTTTGCATATTCTGTTCCCTCACTGCATCCAGGTCTCTGCTCTGATCACCTCTTCACCCCCCACCTAAAATATTACAATCTGTCCTGTTGTTTTTATCCTCCTACCCTGCCTTAGCACTTAGTATTCCTCTCCCTTCTAGAATATAAGTTCCATGAAGGTAGGGTCTGTTGTATTCTCGTTGCTGACAGCAGGGTCTGGTGCATAGTAGCCATCAATAAACATTTGTTGAGTTGAATGGATGAATGAATCAAGCAAACAAGAGCTGGTGCAGAGCACACTGCCAAGAGTAGTATCTCAAAGATAGGGGCCAGAGTTGTGTCCTCATGTGCTGGCATCCCTGGTAGGTGACAAGGCACATGTATGAAGCACAAAGAGCACACTCAGGGGCCTGGCAGCATCATCAGCACCTATGGGCTCAAGAAACAACAAGTGCAGGGGTGGGCATGTGGCAAACTTGTCAGGAAGGTGGGTGGGAAGCCACTACCTCCACGTGCCCTTGGAGAAGCAAGGCTTTCTCTGCAGAGCATGCACAGGAGGTTATCTCCACTTGGGAACCAGTGAACGAACCAAAGCAAACTTGATCCTGGCTCCTGAAAACAGGAGGGAGTCTCCATCCTCAGTGGTAAGCACGGCTTCCACCAGCCATGCACATATGCTTATGTTCCATGAGTACAAGCAGAAGTTTGCAGAAAGGGGTCTTCTAGGCTGCTGCCCACCCCACCTTGGCTGAGCCCCCAGGCACCTGAACAGTGGCAGAGGCTGTGTAGGAAGAGCCATGTCTGACTAAGAGGCAAGGGTATGGCATTGAGAAAAGAGACTGGATTTCATGTCGAGATGCCCGCGTTCAGTGCGACCAGAGCCCCTTCGAGTGTAGAGGTAGAACTAGATGATCACTAAGATTCCTTCCCATTCCAAAGAGGGAAAATATATTAGCCTTAAACGCAGGGCTTTCACTAGTAGGACTGATCTACCGACCAGCCCTGCAAGGAAAGTATTATCAAACCTAGGCTCAGAGAGATGCAGTAACTCACCCAAAGTCACACAGCCTAAGTCCAATAATCCTGGTGGTCTACCCTGCATTAAAGTAGTGTTCTAGTGTAGAGTGTCAGTGGGTCTTGAGCGGGGCCTGTCACTGGTACTTTTAAGCTCCTCAGTGATTCTCCTGTGCAGCCAGGATGGAGAACCCCTACACTAGTGGCTGAAATTGAAAAGAAAGCTTGCTGGCATCTCTTGGAAAGAATCCTTTCCCTCTCTCCCGTGTCTCCCCACGCACATGCCAAAGCCATCCACACGTAGGTTTCTCCTCCTTCCTCTCCACAAGGGACAGTGTTGCTGGCTGGCCTGAGGTTTAGTCTACATTAATTTCCTAAGCCATACTCAAGGGAAGCCCAGGATTTAGCCACTTTTGTATTTAGCTTATGTCCCTGGAACACTGTATGCTGTTGTGGGGTTGGTATGAAGAGGATACTTGTCATCGTTGCTGCTATAATTTGTGAGTGGAGGAGGTCGCTCTTTGTGCTTGCACGGCCTTCTCCGGAGGGAACGCCGAGATTCTGAAGCAGTTCATTGAAAGATTGCTTAATTTTTTCTTCCCCCAAAATGACAATGTTTCTCAGCTGGCTGCTCTGTGCATTCCCTTCCTGATTGCTGGTTTTACATTTGAACCTTTCACATCACGTGGCTAGCTCCACCGAGCTCTGCGGAGGGCCATTTACTACCCTCAGAAACCTGAGCCCCAAGCATGGAACCATCTCACCACCTGGTGGTCCTGCAGGTTGATGTGGGAGAAGCAGTGTGCTGTGAAGGTCAAGGGCACAGGCCATGGGACCACAAATGCTTTGCTTCACCTTCTGAGTCTCGGTACCCTCATCTGTAACACGGTTTTAATAGAACATGCTTCACAGGCTTATTACTGTGAGGTTTAAATTAAGTCATTTGCAAAATGTCCCTGAAACATTGTGGGTATTCAATAAACGTTGGCTATCTCCGCCTTCTTAGAGATCAGACTTCACGTAAACTCAGAACATTTTGTGAGAAAGTAGAGAAAAGTTGCTCTCTTTAACCTCAACTTTAAAAGTTAGGAATATATCATCAAGTTTCCCCATTACCTAATAATGACCATCACATTTTTACTCCATTTGGAAATTTACAAGTTATAGATCATTTCTCACTCTAACTTAAAATGTTCCTATGAAATTGGAAGAGCAAGTATAGCTATTTTCATTTTAGAGAAGCAAGAACTGAAGTTAGAGAGGTCAGCGTGACGTTCTCTGAGGACATATTCAAGATCACAGCTCATGTTTCTTGAAGCTCATCCAGTGTCTCTCTCAAGTACCTTCTTTGGAGCCTTTGCATCTGCCTGTGCATCTGCCTGTCACAGCCTTCCTTCCATTCTTTACTTTACTGATTCCTATGCATCTTCCAGGTTTCAACTGGGTGGTTATTTCCTATCCAACCCCTGTCCCCCTGCCCACATTCTCCAAAAGTATCATGGACTTACCTTCTCTAGGTACTTATTGTACTGTATTGCAGGGGTTCTCGGGTCTGGGTGTCCAATAGAATTATCCGAGACCTTTTTAAAAGTATATCAGTTTAGGATCTCACCCAAGACCTCTTTGATCAGGTATCTATTTTTTAAAAGTGCCTCGGGTGATTCTGATATACAAAATCTCCCTTACTAGGGTGCAGACCCTATAATGGCAGTGACCACATCTATTTTCTTCATCATTAGGGCTCCAACACCTTGAACAATATCTGGCAATACTATTAAATAATATATTATTATCAATAACATTTATTAAGTATCTACTCTATGCCAGACACTATGATAAATAATTTACATGCATTTATTTCAGTCAATACTGCCAATTATCCTATGAGGAAGGGGAAACTGAGGCTTGAAGAGGGGCTTGGAAGATATAGTGTAAATATTCCAGTGACTGTTAGCAGTGCAATTTGTGTTTTCGACCTGCTTCCATGATAATAAATGGAACCCCCCCAAAAAAATGATTGTAAAAACATATAATAAAGGACTCAGGGACTCTGCTTTCAAGACAGATCAACCCATCGTCTCTAGAAATGAGAGTGGTAAAGCAGAACCCTGGAATAGCTTGGGGGTCAGCCAGCATTGGCCCCAACATGCCCCTTCCAAGTCCCACAAATAGCACATTTTAGCTGCTGAACCACCAGAAAATTGCTTGAATTCCTCCCAGATAGTCTAATATTATTTTTCAATTAAAATGCTTTTGGCTGCAAGTAATGGAATTAATATGACTGAAACCGTGGAGGTTTATTTCTCTCATATATGAAATCCTGAAGTAGGTGGTCCCGAGATTGGCTTAGCCATTTAACAAGTAGATATTTAAGCACACAGAGCTCCAGAATATCAGGGTGGAACACCGGCATCTTCTCCCACGATGAGGCCTTGCCATCATCCCTTCACGATGAGGCCCTGTAAACATCGTGTTTCATTAAAAGATCTTCATCAGGCTTTAATCTTATGAGTGGGAGGCGCCCCTGCACTCTTTGATCAGGCATCTATTTTTTAAAAGTGCCTCGGGTGATTCTGATATACAAAATCTCCCTTACTAGGGTGCAGACCCTATAATGGCAGTGACCACATCTATTTTCTTCATCATTAGGGCTCCAACACCTTGAACAATATCTGGCAATACTATTAAATAATATATTATTATCAATAACATTTATTAAGTATCTACTCTATGCCAGACACTATGATAAATAATTTACATGCATTTATTTCAGTCAATACTGCCAATTATCCTATGAGGAAGGAGTATTGTTATCCTATGTAAAGAAGGGGAAACTGAGGCTTGACGAGGGGCTTGGAAGACATACTGTAAATATTCCAGTGACTGTTAGCAGTGCAATTTGTGTTTTCGACCTGCTTCCATGATAATAAATGGAACCCCCCCAAAAAAAATGATTGTAAAAACATATAATAAAGGACTCAGGGACTCTGCTTACAAGACAGATCAACCCATCGTCTCTAGAAATGAGAGTGGTAAAGCAGAACCCTGGAATAGCTTGGGGGTTGGCCAGCATTGGCCCCAACATGCCCCTTCCAAGTCCCACAAATAGCACATTTTAGCTGCTGAACCACCAGAAAATTGCTTGAATTCCTCCCAGATAGTCTAATATTATTTTTCAATTAAAATGCTTTTGGCTGCAAGTAATGGAATTAATATGACTGAAACCGTGGAGGTTTATTTCTCTCATATATGAAATCCTGAAGTAGGTGGTCCCGAGATTGGCTTAGCCATTTAACAGCCTCAGCGAGCCCTCAACCACCTCTGTCTTTCCACTCTGCCGTCTTCCGCGGAATTAATATGACTGAAACCGTGGAGGTTTATTTCTCTCATATATGAAATCCTGAAGTAGGTGGTCCCGAGCTTGGCTCAGCCATTTAACAGCCTCAGCGAGCCCTCAACCACCTCTGTCTTTCCACTCTGCCGTCTTCCGATCACTGGCAGTGTTTCTCTTTACTGTCCCAGGACGGCTACAGCAGCTTGCAGAGTCACTTCGACTGCACGAAAACATCTGAAGGCAGGAAGGGAAGGACAGCACCCCATGCCAACCTCCCATCTACCTCTCCCATTTTGTAAAAGAGGAAAATCTTTTCCAGAAGACAACTAGCAGATGTTCTCCTCTTCCTAGAAGCAGGTCCCATAGCCACTGCCAGCTTAACAGAAGTCTGGGAAGACAAGAAATGGAAATGGAGCTTCCAGCTCTCCCTTAGGAGGTGGAATTTACCAGGAAGAAAAAGGGGGGAAAGAAATGGTTGCTATTTAGACACTTGATAGTCCCAACCCCGAATATCCTTCATTTAAAATACTGATGGTTAATCTAAACTAGATTCTCCTTCAGGATATCTTTAAAACAAACTTGGCCCCGTGCATCCAAGGCTGTTGAAGAAAGGAACATGTCAACTCTAGAACTCTCTAGACAACAACATTGTGGGGAGCTAAAGATTTTGGTGTCACGGACTTTTGCTGATGGCTAACGCTCTCCGCTCCTGTTTCTAGGTCAACAGTGATCTTGTTTACATCACAGCTAAGAAAGACGGCACTCAGGTGGTGGGAGCTGTGGATACCACCCACATTGGGAAATTAATTGTAACCAAACAAATCGGAGGAGACGGCATAAAGGACATTACCGATACTTACAAATTCCAAGAAGGTAATTTACTACAACCAGATTAATATTCCTTCACCCAAGTCCATTTAGTACTTATTCACTGTCACCCTGAAATGTGTTTCCTGGAGAATGCACTGGCATTTGCAGCATTTGGTAGCAAGAGCAGAAGCATAAATTCTCATGAGTGACAGACACGTCACACACGCAATTTTTCATTGTAGTTTTGTTTGCTTGCTTTGAGCAGGATTCCCCCTCCCACGGCTTGTGAAATGATCTGCTTTATCGTCATATCTATTTTGATAGAGTATAGAATATATTCTTGCTCATAAGAGCCTTAATTATAAATAATCCTATTAGAAAACACTGTATAACTGATGTACTTTTAGTTCAATAATCAAAATTTAACTACTTCCTATTTGTTTAGTAATTTACAAAATATTTTCACATACACTTTTCATTGAATTATCATGCAAACTCCATAAGGCAGATAATATAATATTAACAGGACAGCACACTAATTAATTCAGGCCAATTAGGGTGAAGGCCAGTTTCAGGAATAAAATTATGTTATGGTGGTTTTTTGGTTAACTTTTATTGTGTAGAATATTTTTCAGATGGCACTGTTGAGTTCAGTTCTGTCTCAGTCAGTTGTGAGTGTCTACTCGATGCCCACAATTGGTTTGCTGCTGGAGATTCCAGCAGTGAGCAGGACCCAGTTTCCTGTCCCTTGGCCAAGTGATAAGATCATTGTGCAGAGGGGGCTTTGGAAATGAAGTAAAGGGACACTCAGTCCAACCAAGAAAATCAGAAAAAAGCAAAGCCCAGGAAGAGAAGTCACACACCTCGGTTAAAGAAAGCTGGACAGGGGTTTCCAGGCAGTGGAAGATGGCCAAAGCTGGGAGGTACGAAGCAGCCTGGGGTGTACAGGGACCTGCAGGTCTTACTGACGCCTCAAGCTCAAAAGGCCCAGTGGATAGAGACACAGCTGCCCAAGGTCAGTAGCAGCCAAGAAGTGAAGGATTTTGGATATTTGACGAGGAACATGGGATGTATTTTGCAAATGATTCACTACCAGAAGTTCTTAGGAGCAGCATTTATTCTAGTGAATGAATAAAAATAACAAGTAATTAGCATATACCTAAATATTCATTGGTACTCCTGATGTGCTAAGGAGTGCAGAATTTGTTTTAAATATTTTAGACAGTTCCCCACTCTTATTTACAAAAGCTATTTCCACTATAAAGAAAAAAACTTACTGAATTGAGAACACTTGCGCATGGTATTAGAAATTGGAGATTTTTGTCACCTGAACTAGTGAATTTTTCCTGTATTTCTGAAATGGTTCATTTTTTTCTTGTGTTGGTTATCATCCATTGCACAACATAGGTACAAAAGATTTCTTTTTTCTTTGGGGTATTTTCCTAAAAGGAAAGTTAAAAACAATATAAGCACAGTAAAACAAAAATAAGCAATGCCCTCTTACTGTAGAGTAACATGCAAAAAGGCTCGGAAAGGGAAAAAGGAAAGTCTATAAAAAAAAAAAAGTTAAAGAAACTAGCCTCAACATTCACTCAGTTACACATCCATGCATTCAACAGCTTGATCTTAACCCTCTGCCATATTCCAGGCACTGTGCGGGCTGGAGAAGTGCACAGCCCTGCCTTGCATCCAGCTGGAAAGAAAGGGAGAAGCTAGCCTCACCTTGTGGGTGAGCATTGCTCTGACACAGGGAAGACAGATGCTGCAGGGCACAGACCAAGCCACACTCAGGGATCAGGTGAAGGAAGTTAATGACGGGCAACCCAGCCCGCACAATAAAAAATGATTGGCAGGTGAGGCTGGGGAAAGACTTCCCCGGGGAAGGCAGCAGGGCAGGGATGGCAGTGTGACCGTTCTCCGCTGGAATGAGGCCTGACCGGACAGAGCAGTCCACAAAAGGTGAGCTACGGGCACCTAGGAGCAGCGGTAAGTGAGCTGTCCACGTGACCCGTTGTTTCACTGAAACCACGCAGCAGAGCACAGCTGCCATCGTCTGTCAGCCCAGAGGTGACAGAGAAATCAGGAATGGGACAGGATCAGATGCCGAGAGGAAAAAGACCAAAAACCAGTCCATGAAAGAGAAGTTGGGGACTGAGCCAGGGGTGGACACCAGATTAAAACAAATAAAAGACACCAACTGTGCCTGAGAAAGACATCTGAGGTCCAGGCCACCAGAGTGTAACAAGAAGGCAAGGCTCAGGGAGAGGGGCAGTGTGGGGGTCTGGTACAACTGGAGAACCCCTCGATCTGTATAGATAGTCATGAGAGACAACCCATCCTGCCTCTGGGCCAGAGTTTGATCCAGGTGGGTAACTAGTGTCCTGATCAAGGACGGCATACAAGAATACATTTTAAATTCTAACTTTGGAGTGACTGAGTGGAGTGCTAATTTGAGAATGTACCTGAGCATGGCGGGAAAGAGTGATTGATTATTGATGTCTGCTGTGGCCACACCGTAGAGGCCTGGCAGCATTTGTAGCTGTGTGGCCACCACTCTGCTTCTTACTATTGAATCTCATATAATTTCCCTGATCTGCAAATGCCGAGTGTGGACACCAAAATATGGAGAGGAGTCAAATCATATAAAAGAAATTATGACTGGGTTTAGGAATTAACTATTTTAATTAACTAAATGGTGAAAGATCATTTATCACTTTAACTTACTAAAGCTTAATATTAATTTTATAAGTTTTTTTTCAAAATATAAGAGTAAGAAACTATAAAACTTTGAAAACCAGAATCCTAAAAACTTCTCCTGTGGCAATAGATCCTCTTTTATGATGGTGTCTTGATCCCATTCCCTCTTGCTCCATTAATTACTCCCTCTGTTGCTTGTATTCTCTTCTCTCCTCGTCTACTTTCTCCTTCCAATTAGCATTTAAGCAGGCTCAGGTGTCTTGCGTGTTAGAAAAACAACTTACAAAACCCTTTTCAGCACTAATTCCCTACCAGGCAGGCCCTGTCCGCCTTCCTCTCTGCCTCTGCAACCATCTTCCTTTTCCATTCCTTCCTCTCCCCTGAGCCCCGGTTTCTGCTCCCAGCACACCCCTGAAGCTGTTCTTCCCAGGGTCACAAGACCACCTGACCGCCACATGGAGTAAATGTTTTGCAGAAGCCACCTTGCTTGGCCTTCCCACCCTTTCTGATGATGCTGTTCCCTCGTTTTCTTGAAAGTCCCTCTTCTCTTTGTTCCAGTGCCACAACTTCCTGCTGGCTCCACCCGCCCCCCTGACTCCTGTCTCCTGCAGCTCTCAGCGCGCCTTTCTCCGCCGCCCTCTGGATGTTAGTGACTTCACTCCAGGCGTCAGTCCTCGAGCTCCATTCGCACCTGCTTTAGGTTCTACTTCTACGTAGCTGGTGTTCACTTCCCAAGTGAACACTGATCACTCCCAAGTCTGTGTCTCAGCCCAGACATTACCCAGATGTCCCACGGAAACCTGAAACTGAACCCTCCACAATGCCACCTTCTCTCACTGCCAAGTGAACACTGATCACTCCCAAGTCTGTGTCTCAGCCCAGACATTACCCAGATGTCCCACAGAAACCTGAAACTGAACCCTCCACAATGTCACCTTCTCTCACTGGCCCCGCCTCCCGCCTCCTTTATTTCCCCCACGCTCCCCACCCTAGTGACAGCGACCACCACACACCCAAATGTGGCACCTCGAGAGTCAGGCGAGCAGCAGATCCTCTGAGTCCCTCTGAACCAGTTCACAAATGCACCCGTCCCCTCCAGCTCCGCAGCTGCTCTGAGGATTAAATGGTATCAGGGGTGTAAACCCTGAGGATGTGCCTGACATATAGGAAGTGTCAAGCAAAAGTAAGTTTCCACTCTTGCTAGTAATTCTGTTACTACCGTCATACTCCTCCTCTTCTTTGGGGCTCCGATTATTTTTCTCCTGGAACACAGCTGCTCCGGCTTCCCAGCTCCACCTCACCTCCCCATCCTCTCCTTCCCTCGGGCTGACCTCTGCTTGCCGCCAAGCTGATGTTACCTGAAATACAAACCTGAGCCGGCTCCAGCGCTGTGAAATAACCCTCTTCTCTTCCCCTCGCCTCCAGGGCACCCCGTACCTCACACACCTCTCATCAGTCGACTTTTTGATCCCCAAGCTGCCACTCTGGCTGTGCCCCACGGGTCTCACATGTGGCAGCCAGAGAACTGCTGGCAGTTCCTCCAACAAGCCACGCTGTCGCCTGTCTCCCCGGCTGTACCCTCACTGTGTAGAGAAATATTCCTCCAAGAAGCCTCCCCTGGCCCCGGGCAGTGTAAGGGTCTCTTCCTCGTGTTCCCATACCCTGTGCACCAAGGTCTGTCCCAGCCCCTATGTCAGCCCCGTCTGTACTGCCACCACCCCTCGCTGGTCTGTCTCCACTGCAGGAAGGGCTGTGTTTCTCATCTGCACCCAGCACAGTACCTGGACCATTGCAGGGTCTCAGTAGTGTGCAGTGACCTTAAGAGTAGTCACTGAAGTGCCACCTTCACAGGTGGCCTTAACTGAACACAAAATGGCCTACTCTGGACTAGTTAGTACCTGTCATAAAGACAAAAGTTTTGCCTCTGGCTGCAAGCAGAATACTTTTCCAAACCTCAATCCTTCAAAGCCTCTGTGCTGGGACAGTCCTAGGTCCTGGGGACACAGAGGTGGACAAGACAGACTATGTCATGTTCTCATGGAGATGGCATTCCAGCAGGTGAGATAATGTCTCACAGGACAAGTACTGTGACAAAGAAAAGGAAAGAAAACCAGGCAATGTGTCAGTGAGGATGAGAGGACTTGGGTTTGGGGACCCATTACACAGTGTAATGAAAGAGATGGGGGCCTCTGAGCAGGTGACATTGGAGCTAGACCAGAACAATGAAAAGAGGCTTGTCCAGCATAAAAGGGCTGTCTTATTACATCCTACCTGTAATAAACAGGGAGATGTGTTTGACCTTGCTCCTGGAGGTTACAGAGGAATCTAAGACAATGTAATCTGGCTTTAGTTAATCTCTCATGGTGCTAAAATTTTGCCCATGGCTCTGAATTATGTAAAACGACACAGCACAGAGCATCACTGCAGAGAAACAGGAATTACTCTGCTGGGCTCTGGGAATACCCTGCACTTCTTTCCCCCTATCTGGGCCTGCGCATCCCATAACAGCCCCCGCCTGCCTCTGCCTGGCAGCCCCCTGCCCACAGGGGACAGGCGTCCCCAGAGGGAAGTTCCAGGTTCCTCCACCCATGACCTGCTCTATAGAGCTGCTCGTGACTACCCATCGCTGGCATGTCCCTGCTGCTTGAATGTGCCTCCTGCACTTTGCCTAAACGCATATCTGGCCCCCTCCAAAGTGATAATCGTTAATTCTGTCTTTCTCACGGACCTGTTTGCTGGATGATGTCTGCTAAAATACCTCACTCCTCTCTCCTCATCCTCACCGTCCTTCCCTTTATTATCTCCTTCCTGTTGATCTGTAAGCATGTGCTCTAATCAATGCTCTTCCTAGACCAATTGTTTCTGGCATATTCTTGCAATCTTGGCAATCAGGGAAATTGTTAACAAACACACACACATGCAAATACACATTCACATTTGTATGCAACGCCTGCTGGCATTTGCTCTGTCTTTGCAGACTAGCTTTCATTTCTTATGCATCTACTACCTCTAATCCACTAACAACTCTGTGACGCAGGTGCCCTAATTTGACAAGTGAGGAGGCCGATGGTAACAGCAGTGCCTGCCTTGTAGAATGGTTGTGAGGATGAAATGATGTAATACACACAAAGCACTTGTCCCAATGCCTGGCACATAGCTAGCACTCCATGGTAGCTACTGTGATTAACTGGCCTCTTAATGGCCATTGCATTTAGTTCTTATCCAGGTAAAGTGGAAAACTATCTTGAAATTAACATAATTTCAAATAGCTAGTAGACAGGAATTTGAACATTCCCAAATGAAAAAATGACAAATGTTTGAGATGGATAGGCTAATCCCCCTGATATGATCACTGCACACTGTATACACATACTCAAATATCACATCGTACCCCATAAATACACACAATTTAAATAAATAATAATAAAAGCCAGCGTTCTATGTTAAAGTGATTTTTTTCCCACTAGTCATTCTCCTGACTAGTGTTTGCAAACCAAAGAATTTACCTTCATGTTTTCATCTCCATCCTTAACAATGCACAAAGATGTACCCAAAGGTATTTACGGTGGAACAGAGAATGGCGACCATCTCTGTACAGCTCCACAGGTCCTGTCCCCAAGGCCAAGCATCTGTCCCAAGCTCTGTAAGTCCCACCAGCCCAGCTCGTCAGCGTCTGAGACACCAGCTCCCCCGAGGCTGACTCGTGTCTGCATTTCCCGCTTCCCAGTCTGCACAAAGCTGTTCTTTCCTCTTCCAGAGCTCACCCCTTCACCTGCTCCCCCGCCCTTCCTCTCCACCACGACCACCTCAGAAACCCTACACAAGACACTTTCCCCCAGACGGCACACACACCACGAACTACATTAGAACTTTGGTGAACCATCACATGCCAATGGATGTCCCTCAAAAACCTGTGTCAGTGTCAGATGGGTTTTGGAGACCTTGGGGTAGAGAAAACAGGTCTCCATGTGGTAGGGCTTCATCTCAGAACCTCTGATAGGCTAGTGAAGGTTGTGAGCTTCCAGGAGAGTCCAGACCACTCAGTGCTCCTCCAGGGGGTCTGCCTGAGGAAAGGGGGTCTGTCCAGAGGGTCTGGACAGGAAAGGCTTGGTAACATCTCACCAGAGCCAGCGCCCTCTCTGCGACCTGCTGGGGCTGATGGCAGCTGAGGAAGAGAGGAAGGGCAGGGCAGGAGCCGTCCAGAGTCAGCTCCGATAGGAGTAAGGGGGGCAGGCCGAGGTGGCAGGAGGGCTGAGGAGGACGGGGCTTGCTGGGATCCACACATCAGAGAGAACGCACTGCAGAAGTCGGAATGGCAAGAGGCAATTTCAAAATCTCTCCTTAGAGGTTCCCAAATTCTAGCTCCCTGGCTAGGGCTCAGGGAGGGAAGAAAACTGACATCAAAGTTTGAGAAAGTTAGGGCCGGCCTGGTGGCGCACTGGAGAGTGCACCGCTTGGGAGCGGGGTGGCGCTCCCGTCGAGGGTTCGGATCCCATGTGGAGACCGGTTCCCGCTCACTGGCTGAGCGCGGTGCGGGGGCAGCACCGAGGGTTGCGATCCCATGAGGGTTCGGATCCCATGTGGAGACCGGTTCCCGCTCACTGGCTGAGCGTGGTGCGGGGGCAGCACCGAGGGTTGCGATCCCATTTGCCGGTCCCTGGTGCGGGCACGACACCGAGGGTTGCGATCCCGTTACCGGTCAGTAAAAAAGACAAAAAGGAAAAAAAAATAAGTTTGAGAAAGTTAGATTTTGCCGATTCTACCTGCTGGCCCCTGAGGTGGCATCACTTAGGAAACAACTCCCCCCACATCTCCTTTCCTCACTGCTCAGCCCTTGGAGCTGGCACTGCACCTACTAACTTGGCAACCCAGGCAGGTCTCTGAATCTCTGCGAACCCGATTTTGCAGAATTAACAGGAATAACAACAGCACTTGCCTTGGGGGGCTGTGAGGCTTATAGAGGCAGCCCAACAAGTACCATGCACGGTGGGCTTAGCAATGTGACTTTCTCTTTGGTGGACTGGATTTCTTCTTCCCGGTTCTTATCTCTGGATCTCTCTTAGGTCAAGAAGAAGAGAGATTGGCCCTAGAAACTGCCCTGATGTATGGGGCTAAAAAGCCTCTCAACACAGAAGGTGTCATCAAATCCAGGTCTGACGTTCACATGGACTTTGAAGTAGAAAATGCTGTGCTGGGAAAAGACTTCAAAGTCACCATCACCTTCCAGAGCAACGGCTCCAGCCATTACACCCTCTCAGCCTATCTCTCGGGCAACGTCACCTTCTACACTGGGGTTCTGAAGGCAGAATTCAAAAAGGAGACTTTCAATGTGGAGCTGGAGCCCTTTTCCTGTAAGTTAATGAGGGTGTGGCTCTCTCCAGGGCTGTCATCTGGCTTCCTGTCCCACTCAGTGATAACACCCACTAAGAGCTTTCTGTCAAAGTGGAAGTTCTCCCCCAGAGCTCAGAAGTGTGAACCACACAAGTAGAACCCACCTGTTCTAGAAAAGCCTTGACTTTCATCTTTACGTCTCATGCATAGAAGTGAACACTGAAATTTTCAAAGCCTAGAGCCCCATGAGTTGTAAGAATTCAATGTAACTAAAACTCTTGCTTCTCAGAGTGTGGTCTCTGGACCAGCAGCACCAGCATCCCCAGGGAGCTTGCTAGAAATGCAGACTCTCAGACTCCATCCCAGACCTCCTGAACCAGAATCTGCATTTTAACAAGATCCCAAGGGATTGGAGTGCACAGGAAAGTTTGAGAAGCTCGGATCTAAGTGACCCGGCTCAGAAAACAGGCCCTCTGGTGGTGCCATTTTCCCAAGTTAGGAAAGTCTTTTGGGACAGAGCGTGCTTTGATTTACCACGTAGAAGGCAGGGAGGTCAAAGCTCTGCATGCAGGCTGGTTCTGAAAAATGATCTGTTGGGTATCTAGCGAGAGAGCACATCACTGGGAGCAGAGGCTGAAGACACAGAGTGTGCCTGTGAAGGGCTGTGCTCTCTCTGCCGTCTCTCGGGGGCCTCTTTCTCCCCCTTGCACGCGTCCTTCTGAACATTTTCATCACTACAAAAGTGCAGAGTATTTTAAGCAGATTGGGATCGACATGCTGCAGCTGGCAATGGGGATTATGGTTTCAACCAGTCTCGTTTCCTGGGGTGCTAGTATTTGGCGGGGACAAATGTTGGCCACAGCACTGGTAAAATGAGTCAACCAAAAGAAACCAATCTCCAGGCAGAGCGTGTGAGGTTGGATAGAGCAGGTGGGAAAGGATTTGAACACTTCAGGCCACTGGATTTTCATTGACCTGACATGTGGCACTGAAAAAGAAAAGAAAAGAAAAAAGCATACAAACAATAGTTTCTACAAAGCTGTGGGAAGCAAGACTAACGTGCCTCCTGGGATGATGGAATCACAGGTCACAACTGTGCAGGAGCATTCTGGATTCAGCTGTCACAGGACCCTTGCTGAGGCTTCAGAAAAATATTCCCAGAAAAATGGGAAACTATTCCGAAAAATCCTAATTCCAATAAACCCACCTAAGCTTTACGGGAGCAAATCTGCCTAGCTTCAGTAATGTAGCTAACAATTAAGAAATCACCATGGTATTTTCTTTGGAAACTGAAAGATTTAACACTTTTTCTACCCTAGACGTAGGAAAGGTAACTCTCATAGAAAAGAATAGTCAGTATAAAGGACTGAAGAGGAGAGCAGTTGTAAAAATAGTTTAGAACAGGAAGACACATTTGATTTTAGAGATCCTGAGCCTTGGAATTAGACAAATATGGATATAAGGTGTGACGGTGTCATCTACGAGCTCTGAGCCCTCTCTCCTTATCTGTAAATGGGAATAATGCCACCCACACCATAGGACTGTTGATTCATTTCCAAACCTTTATTCATACTTGCAAGTCCGGGTTCTGCTTTGTGCTGAAGACATAGCCATGCCTACCACTATGGAGTTTCTGGTCTCGTGGGGGAAACAGACAAGAAACAATCAAACGAGTGAATATATATTACACATGTACGTGTAATAAGAAAATATAAAGCAGGTTAGGGGCACAGGGCATGCTGGTGGGGGTGAGATGGTCAGGGAAAACCTCTCTAATGACGTTTAACAGAGACATGACAGAAGGGCAGGAGTGATCATTTTGGCCAGAAGAAGCCATATGTGCAAAGGCCCTGGGTCCAGAGCATGCCTGAGGTGTTCAATGAGCAGCAAGGACTGGGAGCAAAGGTGGCAAGGGGAGAAGCAGTGGGTGCAGACCGCGTGAAGAATTACAGGCCCTTGTAAAGACTTCTGCTTTTTTTCTTTTATGAGTCAGCTGAGGAGCCAAGGGGGGTTTTGAGCAGAAGTGTGGCATGACCTAACGTAGGTTTTGAAAGATCACTCTGGCTGCTGTGTCGAGAAAAGACTAAAGGGGAAGTAGGGCTAAAGCTGAGCGACCAGATGGGATGCTACTGCTGAGAGATGATGGTGGTGGTCATGGAAGTAGTGAGAATTAGTCATATCTGGGTATGCCCTGAAGGTGGAGCCCACCTGATTGGCCGATGGACTGTATATTTGGTGTGGGAGATGGAGCTGTGGGGGAAACTAAATGAGATCACGTATGTGAAGTGTTTCGCACATGGTAGGGTCGTAGCAAATACTAACTGCGAACATGTTTACATCTTGGGAAACTGAGGCTAGCAAGGTGAGTTGATGTGTTCAAGGCCATACACAGCAACTAGAGGCAAAGCAGATAGTAGAACGCAGGTCCCATTCAGGCAATGACAGTGAGCCAGTTCGGTATAAACTTGGCCCCAACTGGGCCAGTTTTCCTCTAGTTCCCACACTATCCAGAGTCTAGCACAGCTCCTTAGACAGGAACTAAATACCAGCCCTTTTCCCACCTCACAGGAGTCCTGTCTTTCAATCTCTTTCCTTTTCTCTCCCTAATCCAATTAAAGAATGAGCTTCTAAGAGTCAGTGGGCTAGAATGGCATGATGTATTATCCCTGTCAGTCACTGACCTAGGGACAGCTGACCAGCCCTCAGCCTGGTCAATATGAACCCAGCTCCCACCCACCTGGCCCACTCAGGGCTTGTCCTGAATAACTGGAAGGGAATTATAGACTCTCTTCCTTTACCCTGCAGGTAGGCGGCACTAATTGCATGCAATTAATCTCATATTGCAATCTAAAAATGAATTGAAGTATATTGCAAAAAGACACAATTCTAGACCTTGATCAGGCATTCTTAAGTGCCTCTATTGGAAAGAAAGTTTTCCAAGTAGAATGGGAGGCATACGTTCCAGATTGACGACTAAAGGGAAAGTGTGGGCTAGAGTCAGCTTGGAAGATTTGAATAACTTAAGCCTCCCAGTACCTTCAAAGGTGTTGTCATTTCCATTTGGCTATATTTAGTTTTCTTTGCTTTTTGGAAAAGAGATGAGGTAGCTCCAGTCTGTGTCTCCCTTGGCTTTCCCCAGACACCGTATATGATATTGGCAGCATCCCAGCTCCACCACTCACAGAATGAAAATCTATTCCTCTTTCTCTTGCCACGTTTAATAAACTTTATCTAGAACAATTTCTTGTGCAGTGGCAAAACACAGCACTTACATAATGTACTATTTCAGGAGCACTGTTCTCTTGGGCTCTGAAGCACAGCTTGTTTTTTTTTAGTGCTGTGATTTAGGGAATGTTCTCAGAGAAGAAAGGGGTCCCAGTGCTGAAATTATAAAGGTAGCAAGGGCCTCTGTAAAGACAGGTAGAAAGAAGTCAGGCATATCCCACTAGCCTAAAGGAACCTAGTAGTCAAGCACAGCCCTCTGTAAAGAGCCAGTGGAATTATTATTACCAGAGGCAGCTAGAAGCAAAATGCATGTTCTAGCTAAAAATAAATAAGTAAACATACACATACACACACACACACACACACACACACAAGTGCATGTTCTTCAGGGTCTGCCACTCCACCACTCCATCTGTCCAGATCTGGGGATATGAAAAACAGGCCACATATGTGCATCTGAGGTTGTATCCAATGGAGGGCCAGAGCCTTGCTCATCTGGACAGTTCATTGCTAAGGGAGCCACAGAGGAAGCAGGGTCCAGATTCAGGTCCCAAGAAGGCAATATGAGTGGGTCATTCAAAAAGGCAGAATTTGGGGGCCAAGGTCAAGGCAAGGTCATAACTTCAAAGAACCAACTGTAAATGGAATAGCACTTCCCTAGGAATCAAGCCAACCAAGCCAGTTGTTTAGTACTTGTCTAGGATGGACTAGTACATTCTAATAATCTGCACAGCACAGGGCAGGGTTTCTCAGCCTCAGCACCACTGACATTTTGAGCTGGACACTGCTTTGCTGTGGGGACTATCCTATGCATTGTAGGATGTTGAACAGTGTCTTTGGTCTCTACCCAACAGATGCCAGTAGTGACCTGCCCCCCACCCCAATTGTGACAACCAAAAAGGTCTCCAGACATTACCAACATCCCCGGTGGGGGTCGGAGGTTGCCCCACACTGACAACCACAAGTCTATGATGACCAACCTCGGTGGGGTTCCCAGGATGCAGGACTTTTCATTTTAAAACCCAGTCCATTCTAAGGCCACCCTAACTCTGCCCTAACTTAACCCCTTTTGCTCTGAGAAACTGTCTCCCAGAGCCTCTCACACTTGAGATTATGCAAGTGAACTCTTGATTCAGTGGTGCACGGTGGGGGTGGGAACCTGATGGTGCTGAGGCTCTTTGCAGGTCTGAATCTGTGGGGGTCTCCGTGGTTGTTGGAGTGGAGCTTCTCAATTCTGGCTGCACATCAGAGTCACCTGTGGAACTTTTAAAAAACACTGATGTCTGGGCCCCAGCCACCAAGACTCTGGTATAATCGGTCTGGGGTGGGATCCAGCATAGCAGGTTTTTAAACGTCCCCAGGTGATTGTGAAGTGGAGCCAAGACTGAGCACTCTTCAGTCAGAGGGCCATCAGCAGTGACAGACAGCACCTCCACATCTGTAAGGAGACTTGCAAGGTGAGGTGCTGCCTGAGGTGGAGGCCAGTCCGGGTGTGAGAGTCCCACGCATGGAAAGTGCGCTTGGCCCGTGCGCCGTCACCTGTGAGCCAGTGGTGAGGTGGCAGCGCTTCCCTGCCTCGGGCTTGCTCATGCACATGCCATCCTTCTTACTCACCCGCTGCTGATCGCAGTGGGCCAAGATGAGCTGCCCTCTGCACTTCGACTATTGACCAAGGGAACTGTCTCCTTTGATAACTTCTGCAGGAAGGAGGAATCCTTGGGCAGGGAAGTGGTAGCGAGGGTCAGTTCTGCAGACATTTATAGAGTCTGTTCCCTGTGTGTGTGTGGGGGGGGTCACCCATCCACCTGCCATCCAGCCAGCAGCCCCTGCCACACCTGGGCTCAGCCTGCAGAAGAACTGCCCTTTGCTCTCCAGAATCTGGGGGTGGCAGGAATTGGGAGTGATAGAGCAGCCCAGAGCCACAGGAGAGAATCCACTATCCTCAGCCCGGATGGGATTGGAGGAGAGCCAGGACTGCTTCCCTGCCTCCATGTGTCATCTGCACTGGCTTGTCCCCAATACCTAAAAGCTAGCCTCAGTGACATGAGGAAACAAGCATGTGGCACAAGGTCTTCTGGATTACATGTCGGGGACAGGCGTGGAGATAGCTGACTGGCATTGGTGGAAGCTGGTTTCAATAGTTCTCTCTGATGAAAAAAATCATGATATCAGATTAGCACATAAAAAGCCGGAAAGGCAATGTAGGATGCTACAAAGACAAGATTTAGGCAGTTGACAGTTTTGTCCAAGCGTGGCCCATGGCCTGGGTGAGACTTTCCTTATTCCACGAGGGGATGGCATGCACAGTGGTGGCCTTGGACCTCATGGTTCCATGTATGCCCTGTGGGGATTATCCCCATCCAAATCAAAGCCACAACTAAAGCCCCTAGTCCTCCATTTAAACATCTTTATCATGGCATTCCATTTTGCCACAGCAAAAGCACTGTTTGGAGAGTTCGACACGTTTTCTCCAGCAAGACTTCACTGAATATTAAATTTCCAGCACATCCTTCGCCCAGGCAACAGGAGAGCTTGTCCCCAACTGACTCTTTGTTCCTTTTGCCCCTCACCTTTGCTGTGTTCCTGGTGGCTGCCGTGCTAAGGTGGGGAGGATGGGGCGGGGGACAGGGGAAAGGTGATGCAGATTCTGTCTCAGGTCTTGAAGCCAGCCTGTTTGTGTCTCTCCCACCAGCCAGGAAAGAGCAGGTGCTGGTCAGAGCTGGCGAGTACATGGGCCAGCTGCTGGAGCAGGCGTCCCTGCACTTCTTTGTCACGGCTCGTGTCAATGAGACTATGGATGTCCTGGCCAAGCAGAAGACCACTGTGCTGACGATCCCCAAGGTCATCATCAAGGTCAGTTTTAGCATCGTGTCTCAGATAAGGGAGAAAGGCAAGGTTGTGTGTGTGTGTGAGTGTGTGTGTGTGTGTCCTCCTCAAAAAAAAAAAAAATAGAGCTAGAACCCTACTGTTCTTTGAAAGAAGTAAACTGCCCTATATATAGACATGCACATATAACACTTTTCTCTCCTCTCCAGATTTAAATATATAGATGTGGCTGCCGATACA